AGGGAATTGACTTGGATGTCTATAGGTCGAACAAGGAGATTGAACTACTACTAGGAGCAGACGTATACGCCAAGCTACTAACAGGAAAGAAAATAGAATTGGAATCTGGTCCTGTCGCTCTCGAAACGAAGCTGGGCTGGACTGTTAGTGGAAAGGTTTTGGAAAAAATGTTAAAACAACTAAATCTCAATCATCAGTTCTGTCATGCTTAGTCCGTGATGCAACAATACAAGATCTTCGGAGATTAGATGTTATCGGTATCATGGAACCCATGAAGGAAAAGAGCAAAGAAGAGTTGTCAGTTGCAGCGTTGGAACATTTCAACCAAACAGTGAAACAGAATGAAGATGGTCGATATTCTGTCAATTTACCTTGGATAGGAGAACACCCACCACTCCCTAATTACAAGCTAATTCGGAGAAGAAACTTGAATCTACTACTGCTTTAGCAGGGATTAAACGTGATATGAACTGGTCAGTGTTTGTCGCGGGAAAAGTAAAGAAGATTCGACAAAATTCAAGCATAACTGATTGGAGGCACGTTCCTGGTAAATAAAATCCTGCAGACATCCCCTCACGTGGAGCTTCAATCTCACAATTGATACTACTAGATGGTGGGAGGGACCTTTACCGAAGGACAGAGTGGAGTGGGACACTGCAGACTTTGGAGACCATCACTCTTACAAGAAAGTCGAAATAAGATCAACTCTTTTAAAGGAGGACGCGGGCCGCGAAGGAGACAGCCACAGACCAGAGAGCGGCCACGGAGCCTGCCAGAGCCAGCCACGGCTTGCCCGAGCCAGCCACGGCTTGCCCCGACTGGGAGGGACCAGGGAGCTCACCCACATGGACGACACGGCCATCAGGAGCACCGCAGGCAACAGGTACCAGCAGTGCTGCCATTGCCAGTACTGTGATGCATGTCCCGGACGCAAGATGCATGTCCCAGACGCAATATGCATGTCCCGGACGCAAGATGCATGTCCCGGGCGCAAGATGCATGTCCCAGACGCAGGATGCATGTCCCGGACGCAAGATGCATGTCCCAGACGCAATATGCATGTCCCGGACGCAAGATGCATGTCCCGGACGCAAGATGCATGTCCCAGACGCAGGATGCATGTCCCAGACGCAAGATGCATGTCTCAGACGCAAGATGCATGTCCCGGACGCAAGATGCATGTCCCGGACGCAAGATGCATGTCCCGGACGCAAGATGCATGTCCCGGACGCAAGATGCATGTCCCAGACGCAAGATGCATGTCCCAGACACAAGATGCATGTTCTAGACGCGAGAGTAATATTCAATACGCAAGCCTACGTTGCAGCTCTAGCTATTTCGAGAACTCGATAATCTATAGGAAGAAAAAAAAAAGAGGGGAGAAGGATTTCATGGCCATTTGGAAAAGTGGAGGAGGTGCTACCTGGGGCCGATGGACAAGTTCGAGTCGCAAGAGTGAAGACATCATCGGGAGTTTTTCTTCGTCCAGTACAGCGACTTTTTCCATTAGAAATAAAACAAATTTAGATTAGCCTCTACTATAGCCAAGAAAATATAGTAATATAATTTAATTTATCAATTAAATTGGTGGGAGGAATGTTAGTGAAAGGCACGCCCGCGCGAGAAGAAAGAAAAACAGTTTTGAACGGTCTTTCAACCAACATTCTACCGGCGGTCGCCAAGGCGGCGCGCGTGCGCGGCGGTGGAAGAGACGTTCGAAAACTGACGGCCATCGAGGGCGGACGTCTTTCCCATCCATCCGTTTGAATCAAACATTTTTCAACTTCCTTTTTACTAAATATTTAATTTGTAACATAATATTAATATCTATATTTATCCTTAATAAATTAAAATACCACGGATGATTAATTGAATCATTTTTCAATATCAAACGAACCACCCCGATACAAAGTTGATCACCTTTGCTTGAGACCATTTTAATCCAAACGAACCTACATCATAGTGTACCATTCAAAAGTGTACCGAACAGTTATGTTTTATTTGAAAAAGGTGCGCCACATTATTTTTTATAAATATGGTAATTAAAACCAACAACCTCATATTGTATATGACTTAAAACAAGATTTTCATGTTGTATAATTGAAACACATCTGTAAATGATTATACGCATTATTGACATTTGTCATTACATCATCATATGTGTGGCGACCGCACTTTGCTTCAGCGAACAAAGCTTCAAAACACATACGGGCAGAAAGATGGCGGCCCCACTTTGCCTCGGCAAGCACGTGTTTTAAGAACACTTCACTACGCATGCGCGGGCGTCATCCAGAACTTTCTAGCGGCTGGCTTCTTCCGACACACTCGTTCTGGCCACACTGACCCGGTAAACAAGAAGGCTTAAGCTGGCGGCCGTTATTTCAACCGTTGCTTCTTTTCTCTTTATGATGTCTTGCTTTAAATAAATTAATTTTAATTATAATTTTATCAGCAGCCTTTCCACAAGCCACACCAGTACATCAACAACCATCCTACAAATTGGTGAGCCGGACGACTCGAATGAAGAATTAACGGCCAACGTCAAGGGCAAATCTTGGAATCTCAAACATTCACGATGGAACTCACCCCATCTCAAATATCAAAATTGATTTTTCGAGCTCCACCCTTCTTGCCCAAAGACATTCCATTGTGGCTCAACCAACTGGAAGCTGCCTTTAATTTTGCAAACATCGCCAGCGACGACGATTTCAAGTATAACACAATAATCGTTAATTTGGATGAACTGGCTCTCATCTGCGTCTTCGACATTGTAGAGAACCCACCAGTTTCAGAAAAATATGCGGCGCTCAAAGAACGACTTCTCCTGCGATTTGGCCGGTCACGCCAGGTAAGAACAGCTCAAGTCTCAGAATCTAAGCCCATTGCTGATCAGAGACCCTCGATTATCCTGGTTGATTTGTCCAAACCACCTCCATCTCAGCACTGTGATCCCTGTACTCCCACCTCCAATAGCCTCCAACACCTGGAGCAGACGGCTTTTCCCCGTGACGTGAATGTCACAACAACTGCCCCGGTGACTACAGTCCATAACGTTGAAGACACCAACTCAAGCGCCAACTTTCCTTCTCTCTCCAGCTCTCTGAGTGACTCTTCATCCCTGGACTCCTCATCGTTCTGCTCCAACCCTCCTTCAAACACCATCTCGTGCCCCCCTGAAACTGTTTTCTCCACCCCAGTGCACAGTGACAATCCCTTGCCCCAGCAGCCGCCGTCTCACGAAGAGCCCTTGCCCCAGCAGCCGCCGTCTCACGAAGAGGACTTGCCTCCATCCTGCGAGCAGAAACATCCACTCTTCCTAGAAGAAACCAATAACGCTGCTGCAACGACTCCTCTCCACTTGCAGCCCGCCCAAACTTCGGTAACACAACCTCTCCAACCTCAAAACTCTCTCCAACAGTCATTACCTCCCATTGAAGCAAGAGTCACTACTTCCCCAATACCAATAGCTCCACCGGTACTCGCGGCGACTACACCCATCGCTGAGCAACCCATCGTGTCCCTGCAACCTAACAAAATGGTCGCCACCCATTACATCCAGACAACTTTTGAAAAGGACAGGTGCCTCCCTCAAGCCCCCAAGACCAGATCCCAACCCAGCAAGGCACCCTACCAAGAGTTCCCTCTACGACTACATAGGATCTTTAAAGATCCTACTGGAGGGGGAGTAGTGTGGCGACCCGCACTTTGCTTCAGCGAACAAAGCTTCAAAACACATACGGGCAGAAAGATGGCGGCCCCACTTTGCCTCGGCAAGCACGTGTTTTAAGAACACTTCACTACGCATGCGCGGGCGTCATCCAGAACTTTCTAGCGGCTGGCTTCTTCCGACACACTCGATCTGGCCACACTGACCCGGTAAACAAGAAGGCTTTAACTGGCGGCCGTTATTTCAACCGTTGCTTCTTTTCTCTTTATAATGTCTTGCTTTAAATAAATTAATTTTAATTATAATTTTATCAGCAGCCTTTCCACAAGCCACACCAACCATCACTTCAACAACCTTCCTACATATGTAATGTACTTTGTACAAACTGAGGATAAATAAAAAAAACTCTGTAATAGATTAAGAGTTGAGCTTGAGCAAGGGATAGAAGTCAAAAACGTCTAAAATCAGATGGAAGTCACCAAAACATCATCTAAAGATAGATAGGAAACGGTCAGGACGGCGCCAGTGTAGAATTTCGCCAGACGATCCACACCCTCGTCGCATATGCTGAAATGCAATACTTCCTCTCTTGGAAAAGCTATATGAAGCCTCCGTCCTAGCCAAAAATATAGTCATTTCACCATCAGCGCAAGCCCTCGTCGGTTGTCACCAAGGTCCTCTTCATCCACCATGTAGACCAGTAAGAACTCTTCTATCTCCATATTTCGCTCCTAGCTCAACTTTTATCTGTTCACGGAACTTTCCTAGTGCAACTGTGTCTTCGATTTTTGTGTGGACATTCCCAAGCTTTCCACTCTGCCTCGACCACGACTGACTGTACTCTGTGAGAACTGTTAAAGGTCTCCCAAGGTGCAGAGAGGTACTGGAAAACTCTCCACGCCCTGACTGTCCCTCTCGGTTACTACAGGTTTGCCCCTTTCGGTTACCATACCACAGCGAGACACCCTCTCGGTCAACACAGTATAGCGAGATTTGAAAGGGACTCACACCATAGATTAAGTCGACTGGATACCTCATCACATTTTTAGTCGAAAGGATTCTACAAGAGTCGTCAGGACCTCATTATATATATATATATTATATTATAAAGGACTGCGGCGTATGATTATAAAGCAACACTTAAAGTTTTCACCGCATAAGTTTCTTTTTTTGTGAAAATCAATATTAATTTCAAAGAGAAATATGTACTATTTCTAATTTTTGGATGACGTATGAGAAGGTTGAATATATGAAGAGTAATGGTCTATATATGATTGGATGACGTATGAAAGGGTGAAAATATGAAGAGTAATGGCGAACGGAAAAATAAAAGTGTCCAGGGCGGGAATCGAACCCACAACCTTCTGCTTACCGGCAGGTGCCATGTCCACTAGGCTACCCTGGACGTATTTTTCCGCTCGTAACTAATACTTAAAGTAACTTATATTACATTATAAAGGACTGCGGCGAATGATTATAAAGCAACACTTAAAGTTTCACTGCATAAGTTTCTTTTTTGTGAAAAATCAATATTAATTTCAAAGAGAAATATGTACTATTTCTAACTTTTTGGATGACGTATGAAAAGGTTGATATAAGAAGAGTAATGGTCTATATATGATTGGATGACGTATGAAAGGGTGAAACATGAAGAGTAATGGCGAACGAAAAAATTAAAGTGTCCAGGGGCGGGAATCGAACCCACAGTGGACATGGCACCTGCCCGGTAAGCAGAAGGTTGTGGGTTCGATTCCCGCCCCTGGGCACTTTTATTTTTCCGTTCGCCATTACTCTTCATGTTTTCACCCTTTCATACGTCATCCAATCATATATAGACCATTACTCTTCATATATTCAACCTTTTCATACGTCATCCAAAAAGTTAGAATAGTACATATTTCTCTTTGAAATTGATATTGATTTTTCACAAAAAAGAAACTTATGCGGTGAAACTTTAAGTGTTGCTTTATAATCATACGCCGCAGTCCTTTATAATGTAATATAAGTTACTTTAAGTATTAGTTACGAGCGAAAAAAATACGTCCAGGGTAGCCTAGTGGACATGGCACCTGCCCGGTAAGCAGAAGGTTGTGGGTTCGATTCCCGCCCCTGGACACTTTTATTTTTCCGTTCGCCATTACTCTTCATGTTTCACCCTTTCATACGTCATCCAATCATATATAGACCACTAGACGAATTGCCCGGGCAACGCCGGGTTTTACCCGAGTGCGTATATATTTTAAAAACGTTTTAATTCAAATACTATTCGTTACAATTATAAATTGGCGCCATGGATGTCACTCTTGTGAAACGTTTCGTTCCAAACTGTGTGTTTTAAAATACACTACATATTTTACAATACATATTTTATTCTTATAAAGATTATCGATTAAAGGTACTTATATATATTTAAAGGTTCTCATAAAGGTTACCGATTTAAAAGTTTATTTTATTTTATTTAAAGAAACATATTTTCATTTAAGTATTGTTATTTATTTTAAAATATTAAGTAATTGTGCAAAACGATAATTGCCTTAAAAAGAAATTGCCTTAAAAAAAAGAAACATTCGCAGTGATTTTGTCTTGCATTCGTTTATACAATTATTATATATATTGGCATCCTATATTACCTTTATGAACGGAAAAATATGTCCAGGGTAGCCTAGTGGTCATGGCATCTGCCCGGTAAGCGGAAGGTCGTGGGTTCGATTCCCATCCTTTGACACTTTTTTAATTTTATCCATTCTGACCAAAATCTATCCGTGAACTTCACACAGACAGAATAAGGCAATTATATAAGTAGATTAATCTTCATATATTCAACCTTCTCATACGTCATCCAAAAAGTTAGAAATAGTACATATTTCTCTTTGAAATTAATATTGATTTTTCACAAAAAAAGAAACTTATGCGGTGAAACTTTAAGTGTTGCTTTATAATCATACGCCCGCAGTCCTTTATAATGTAATATAAGTTACTTTAAGTATTAGTTACGAGCGGAAAAAATACGTCCAGGGTAGCCTAGTGGACATGGCACCTGCCCGGTAAGCAGAAGGTTGTGGGTTCGATTCCCCGCCCCTGGACACTTTTATTTTTTCGTTCGCCATTACTCTTCATGTTTTCACCCTTTCATACGTCATCCAATCATATATAGACCATTACTCTTCATATATTCAACCTTTTCATACGTCATCCAAAAAGTTAGAAATAGTACATATTTCTCTTTGAAATTAATATTTATTTTTCACAAAAAATAAACTTATGCGGTGAAACCTTAAGTGTTGCTTTATAATCATACGCCGCAGTCTTTTATAATATAATATAAGTTACTTTAAGTATTAGTTACGAGCGGAAAAATACGTCCAGGGTAGCCTAGTGGACATGGCACCTGCCCGGTAAGCAGAAGGTTGTGGGTTCGATTCCCGCCCCTGGACACTTATTTTTCCGTTCGCCATTACTCTTCATGTTTTCACCCTTTCATACGTCATCCAATCATATATAGACCATTACTATTCATATATTCAACCTTTTCATACGTCATCCAAAAAGTTAGAAATAATACATATTTCTCTTTGAAATTAATATTGATTTTTCACAAAAAAGAAACTTATGCGGTGAAACTTTAAGTGTTGCTTTATATATCATATAGAGGGTGCCCTTATTCTCTTATGTTTAATTCATGGGGATAAAATAGTCATCATAGAAAATAGTGGTGAACTAAGAATGATGGGCAAGGCCATACCAAATATTTTCCATCTCCAGTTAACTACCTGTAAAAATTCGTCCAATAAGGAACTAAAAACAATAGAGCTGAATAATCACATTCTCTACCCACAGATAACGCTATGTGCTCTGTCTAACCAAACTACTTTATATTCGTGATGATGCAAACAATGTATATATAATAACGCATATGCAAATAATGGCAGCACTATGCAACTATAAGTAGTATGTTATTCAAAAATGACCTTCTAGACTACGATATTACTATTTTGAACATTGCCCAAATCAGACCTTGATTTCGACTCCTTCAAATGCCTACAAAAAGATACATCCAGGAAAAAATACAGGAGTCAATATTCCATCATTGATCTCTGAATCAAAAATCTGGAGCTATCATGGAATGTGGGATGAACCGACAAGCAGTAACCTTTATTTCCAGGCTCAAAACTGGACATACAAGACCGCTCCTCTTCCAGGATGGTGTGTAGATATTTTCCACAATTCACTATCTGCTGGACCAAAGAGGCCTCACCAGACTACCTCTTGGAATGTATGAATGCCTCATGCAAGACCTATATTCTAACCCTACCAGAATTGTAAATTTAATCCATGAATTCAGTCTCCATGACTTTATATAATTATACAATAGGATACTAATTAAAATAAATATTCTATATGGACTCTTCTAGCACTTCGGTGTTTATAATTAAATAAAAATTGTTCATATATCATACAATATTTAATTTTAAAAAATCTATTTGATTTTATAAAACTTTATTTGATTTTACAAAAACATACCTCTTGCAATACAAAACATTTAAAGGTTAATTTTCACCTCGTTTTCTCAATATCTTAAAAAATTGCATTGAACGCCAATAGGCAAATATGATGTGTAAACCCTAATCAGACATTTTATTACGAAAGTAATACATATAAAAAGCAGCATATATACATACACTTCTATATATATAGTTTATCTAATGAAGAGATAAAAAGGACAGAAAAATAGTAAGTAGAAGTGAAAAAAGATACAAATAAATGGACATTCTTAAGGTAAGAAGTTATCCCAAAGTCCAGAAACTTTTTTCTGAAAAAAAAATTGGTGGAGAAAAAGGTCGTCCATACCGGAAGTGACGTGTTTCGAACGGAAGTGACGTGCGAAGCTCGACAGCTGCCATTTGTCAAGTGTTGAGCTCAGTCGTGAGGAAAGGACTACAACTCTACACTCTATTGCCCCTCTCTACTTCCGACTGGGGGAGAAGGATACCTGCTTGATTTTCATAACCTTTGCCAGTCCAAATATGTTGAAGACGGACAATAAAGTGCAAAAATTTCAAACCATATATAATATATACAATAAATTAAAATTAATTAAAATTGAAAAATAATTATTTTAAATTATATTCAGGAATAAAACTCTCTCTCTTTATACCACCACAGGTTCATTCTTGAAGACACTCAGCTTTGCACCAATCTCCTTCCACCTCACCTGAACCATTAGGATTTCCATTATACAGATTAAACGTTATAAAACAATAATAATATGTCATGATGCATTAGCGCGCCATCTGTTATGAAAATTCGAAACTATTAAAGACGCGTATGATTCTTTTAAAAATTAAACAATTTCCACTGTCTTTTCGCAATGGAGAAATTAATGGGAGAGCCTGGCTCATCAGTGGTGAACCCTGCCAACGGTTTCCCAATGGTAGATTAAATTGGCGAAACCGCTGGGAGTGTTCACTACTTATGAGCCTTTAATTCTTCCATTGCAGTAAGGGCAGTAGAAATTGTTTAATTTTTAAAAGAATCATACGCGTCTATAATAGTTTCGAATTATCAATAATAATATGTTTTCTATTCATGATAAAATTGTGAAAAAGTATTAAAATTACAATTATATTCTCACAATGAGTATCTTTTTTATTTAAAAACGCTAGCTTTCTAGCGTTATTCGCTCTTTAACGGGCTTACAATAATATCGACTTGATCCCACAAGAAATATTGTTCAAGTCGATATTATTGTAAGCCCGTTGAAGAGCGAATAACGCTTTTAACGATTTTAAATAAAAAATATAGTCATTGTGAGAATATAATTGTAATTTTAATAATATGTTTTCTCTAATTCTTACTAGGAACCTTATTAATATTCTAAAGCTATTATTAAAATAACTCACAACAGGTAAATTTTTAAAAATTAAGGAAAATCCATATTGCATCTCTTAAATCTTTATTTATTTTTTGAATATTTTAATTTTTATTTCTTTTTTTTAATCACTTTTTTTTTTTACATTAAATCTCTTCAATTATTTAGTTTTATGTTTCGCATCTATGACGCGTAACTGCCGAGTCATCTATGTTTGTTATAGCCCCACCCCTTTTTTAAATAATTTTTTTATATATGCTCATTCTCCCAATTCCCTATTACTTTTACTCTATTTTTAATTAAATTTTCAAAAACTCAAATTTTCTTTTGGGAGATATTTATATCTAAATGTGTTTTTAGTATATTATATATTACATATATTGAGTATAAAAATAAATTACACATTCATCATAAAATATATAAATATAGTAAAGTCAAGTACTTCACTAAAGTATATATTGAATTATAAATACATATACATATTGAACATATAGATAGATTTTTTTGACATGTTGAATATAAAGTAATGTGCACTTTAGGTATATAAGATTCATACTAAGCATAAAGTCCTGATAGAAATCATAACTTCCCTATATAAATCAGTACTTATTAAATGGGTGGTATAGAGTGAATAAACAGTGAGTCTAAAATTCGAAACTATTATAGACGCGTATGATTCTTTTAAAAAAATAAACAATTTCTACTCTCCTTTCTGCAATGGAAAAATTAAGGGGAGGGCCTGGCTCATCAGTGGTGAACCCCTCCAGCGGTTTCGCCAGTTTAATCTACCATACCGCTGTTATATTGCATTATTTATTTGGGTAACCCGGATTCCTGGAGCATACTAAAGTCGCCTACTATCCGGGTTGGTCTTTAGACTTCACGTCTAATGGTGGCAGCAGACATCCAGTTTATCAGGTGTCGCCAGGCTGACTTGTGCTTGGGGATGTTCTGCAGGTCTTCAGGGGCAAATATATTTATTCCTAGGAGGGTGGCTGTTTGGAACCTATGAAGGTGGTGGGCGGGACATCTGAAGAGAAGGTGGTCGACGGTTTGGTCTTCCTCGTGGCAGTGTGGGCAGGTAGGATCGTCTCTAGATAATTTTGCAGCATCGGCTTTGACAAAGCCATGACCTGTGAGGATTGTGGAGGTGGTGCCACAAAATTTTATTTTGGACAGGATCGCCATGAGAGTGTTTGGGAATGCAGCTATTCTCCTGAGGTTTCTTGTGGAGTGATCTGTGACATATAATTCCTTCCAGAGTTGGAGTGAATACTGTTCGCTGCGGGCTCGAACAAATATTTTGGATAGAGTGGAGTAGGATATTGGCAAGTTTGAATCAGCTGCTGCCTTGGCTAATTTATCTGCATGCTCATTGCCTTCTATGCCGCTGTGGCCTCTAACCCAGCAGAGCTGTACGTTTAAATAGTTTAGATTGCGAACTATCTCAGCTATGAGTGAGGTTTTTGGGAGTTCTGGGTTACAAATGGCATGGAGAGCTGCCAGGCAATCAGAAGCGATTGCTGTTGGTTGTCTTTGCATGAGTTGGATCGCTCTAGTTGCGTAGAGGATAGCAAGTAATTCTGCCTGGAAGGAGGTGCAAAGATCATGGAGTTTTAGTTGTCTTGGAGTGGAGGGGGGTGGCAGAAAAACTGCGCCGCCTACGCCTTTGAGGGACCGTGATCCATCGGTGTATATGATGGTTGCAGTTTCTGGGAGCGACTTTGAAAACTGAAGTAGTTTTCTAAGGGGTGGATAGTGGACTGCGCTCGGCCCTGGACGTGTCTCAAAAGGACCATTTTTTAATGCTTCCTTGTACGCCAGATGTGCCTTGATTGAAATGTCCAATGGAGGGCCGCCAGTGAGTGAGATAGCTGGAATTGTGAGGGTACAGCCCCCCCCCCCCTAATAAGAAATTTAGCGAATTTATAGTGGAGACTACGTAGTTTGCGAGTGCCATTAGTGTCGAACACTCTCTTGCCCCTAACATCCGAGCCGTAGAGCAGAGCAGGGAGAATTACCATCTTGATTATTTTCCGGCCTGAGCTGTAAGTGAGTCCATATTGTTCCCTAATTGTGCTAATTAATCGAGGAAGCATCCATTTGCATTTGTTGAAAATGTTGTCCGAGTGACGAACGAATGTGCGTGTGGTGTCAAAAGTTATGCCCATTATTTTTATATGGTTGTTGATTAAAATAGGCTGGTAGAGGAATT